ACAGTCCCAGTTGCTTACACTTCTATTGAAATGGGCTGCCTGTGTTATCAGAGTGTGTAATGCAGTAGCATTGGCTTTTATGACCTGAACTTGGTTGTTTATACTCTTTGCTCTTTCCTCTTTGGGAGGCCCACCACTCAGCTCCCAAATAATCACACTGAGACTTCTGAGACTTATCCTTTCTTATGATTGTCCAGCCTTCACCTGACTTATTTTTAGCCAGCTTCTCTTAAATTATCTACATTTTGGCCCTGGGCTTTTATCTTTCTCTATTCTATACACTTTTTTTTCTCTTCTTATTCTGTGGCTTGCTGTGTGACTGACTCTGCCAAGTAATCTAAGAGTGTTTGTCTTTCTTAGAGTTAGACTCTTCAGAGAGCTTCAGAACAAAGTCTGCAAATATCTATGCAGTGGTGCTGCTTTTGGTTTTTATGTGACTCATCTTCCTTAGCTGTATATAGCCACATCTCAAGATTCTGTGTGTATGTGGCATTTGCCTGTGTCCCTTGTTCCAGTGATGACAGCAGCGCCATCTCCAGGACTGGTTAACACGCACACACATGTTGGCCTGGGTTCTAACAAGGTGAAGGTAGCAGCAGGGTTTTGTTGAAGATCTATTAAGGAAGGCTACTTCTTGGTAAAACACAGCTATTTTGCAGACTTATATTTAAATTATTTTAATTCACTCTGTTACTTGAGTTTTGTTCAAAAGAACAGGACTTGGGTCATATGGTTAGCCTTGAGGGGAGACTCGACTTTCCAAACTGCATCAAACAGTATAGATTACAAACACAAGTTGTTGTTTCCTTAAGAGTTCATCTCAGTCACCTTGGAAGGAAAACGCCCCTCAAAACACTGTAACTTCAGACACGTGTTAGACTTGCAGATGTCTTAAGATGTGTGGAGTAAAACTATTCCCTCAATGAGATAAGTACTTATATACCTCAGAAGCCCCTCACCCATTGTAAATGGTAATTGACCCCCCCAGTTAACTTTCTTTCTCCTCTTTGTATATTTTTTTTAAATTTAATACCAGTCAAAGTCCTCAGCATGTTGCTCTGAAGCTCTAGACATTCTCATTCTCTGTCTGAAGAGACATCCCTACCCCATGCAGATGCTCACAGGCTTTCACTGCTGAGCCTGCCTGATAGCTTAGTCTCCAACCCTGAAAGCACATCTTCTTTCTCTTTACCCATCTCTCCCCTCCTTGTTACCTGCTGAGATCTGTGGTCTGTCTCCCCTGTTGCTTTTTGTCTTTTAAATTCCAACAAAATTGTTCTCAACTTTTCTTTTAAGCCTGTCTTTACTTCTTTTATATATGGGATTTAAGAACCCATAGAAGAGACCCTGTGCTCCTTGGTGAGCCTACTGCCAATGAAATAAATTCTATATTAAGTGCATGCAGACACAATCGCAAGAAATTAGTCCTGAAATAGTATGCGAGGTTTGCCCTCAAAAAGTATCCACTTCCAAACCAGGTAAAATATCACCCTAGTTACAAAAGGAATAAAATAAACTGTACTTGCGATAATTGCAAAAGAGTTCAAAATCCTCTTTCAGCAACTATGGGCAACTTCTGTGTATTCAGTTTAGTGACATCCAAGCCTTCTATCAGGCAACACTGTGGGAAAACCCCTTTAACTGAATAGTTCGAACTTGTATAGTTTCAGTTTCCAGTTCCAGTTTGGAGGACCCTGTTAGCTTTTCCTGTGCTTGGCATTTCATATGCAAGTTCTCTGCCAGAGATCTGGGAGGAGAAAGGAAATTCCCAGAGCTGATCAGTATTTATAAGAAACAAGCACAGCTAAATAAGGGAACAACAGGCTTGGGCTCTTTCAAAGTCTTCTTGGATGCAGCTTTCTCACGAGCTATTAATTCGGCTTGCCTCCTCAACTTTTGTTAAGGTGAAATGGGACATGGGTGGGCAGAGTCGTCTATGGTTTAGTTTTTAGAATGTTCTATCCAGGACCGGATGCTCCTAGGCAGGGATACTACTGAAGACTAAATTGGAGTGTTGCCAGACAAGCAATTATTCATGTGGCAGTCAGAGTGCTTATGACTGTCGCTGTCGCTGACTGTGAGAGGGCAGCCTGGGTGGGGTGAAGACTGAAAGCTAGGCATACTCTCCAGCTGTTCTGCATCCCATTGCTCTGCCATAACTTCTTGGCATCCCTAATCGCTGCTGCACTTTCCTCTGTATTAAAACCTGATGCAGCCCTTTCAGTCTGTGGCCTGGGGCGGGGGGGGGGTTTCTCAAGAACAGCAGGCAATTAATTGCCCCACTGGCTTGAGAAAGGGCAAACCATAAATTGCAACATAAACAGCTAAGATGCTGAAGACAAACAGAAATGAAACGGTTTACAAGGAAAATGCTTTCTGAAAACAGCAGTGGGCTTTTAGCTTTGAGCATCTTGTCTCCTGAAGGTTCCGTGTTTGCCTTTCCTTCATAGTCACTCACTTTTGGTAACCCCCTTTGTGTTGGATTCTGTCTCTGCTATGATGTTGTCTCTATCTCATACATTGATTAACTCAGAAATTGCCCACCTGGACCACTCAACATGGTCTGACTATGTTTTGACTTCTTGCCTTATGCATGTCATATTTAAATATTTCCATTAGCTGCTAACTGAGTACTTTTCTCCTCCTTTTTTTTCAAATTTAGACCAGAAGCAATACAAAATAAGAAAAAAGCAAATAAGCATAAATATCCGAAACTTGAGCTAAAACCATAGCTACAAAGACCTGTTTTCTTCCAGACATTTGTCCCTAGAACTCCTCAGCATCTCTCAGGTTTCTTGGCACTTTTCTTCTCCATAGTCCCCCATACACACACACACACACACACACACACACACACACACACACACACACACACACACACACACCCCGCTGTGAAGCTTTCCTTCTTCCTTTAAAAAAATGTGTTGTGCCTGAGTGTATTTATCTACATCAAATGGTAGTGAGAAGAGCATTAGGTCCCATGGGACTGGGGTTAATTGTGAATCACCTGATGTAGTTTCAGCTAATTCAGGTCTTCTACAAGAGCCATCTTCCATCCCAGCCCTTTACTGATGTAAATGCATAATGATTTATTTACATCTGACTTGCAGAAAGCAGGCTGAAAGAGTTGAGTGACATCATAATGCTAATCAGTTGCAAGTCAGAGGCTGGAAATGAAGTCTAACTTAGTCTAACTTACAGCAAAGCCAAAAAATGTGATTTTAAAAATATTTTAAATATTATTTAATATTATTTTTATTTTATGTGTATGGGTGCTTTGGTTTTTGTTTTGTTTTTCTTGCTTGCATGTGTATCTGTGTCACATATGTGTGCCTGGTACCCATGGAAGCCAGATGAAAGCATCAGATTCCTTGGAACTGGAGTCAGTTGTGAGCCAACATGTAGGTTTTTGGAATCAAACCTGGGCCCTCTGGAAGAGCAGTCAGCACGCTTAACAACTGAGCCATCTCTCTAGTCCCCTAAAAGTTGGGGGACTTTAACAATTACAGAAAATGTATTCCTGAGTCATAGGCTGAGCTATGCAAGGCAGAGTAATGAATTTAGGATTTGGCTGGAGAACATTAAATATGCAGTTACATCAGAGATTTGGCTTCAGTAAAAAGCATTAAGGATTCTATCCAGATTCTGTTTGGTGCTAACATGTAAAATGTTATGATTACCAGAGAGACATAGTACAAATGTTCTTCATAAAGGCTGGAAATTCACTCAAATTAGTTTCTTCCCCCATTATTGACATCATCCAAAAACACAAGTGCCTCTAAATCAGTTGTAGATGTGACCTTTATTGTCCTACCTAACTATAGATCATCACTGAAAGCTTCCTACATCTATATAATCTGCAAAAAAAATCCCTTTAATCCCTGCTGTGTATAAATAAGGCAACCAGAGTTCTGCTGATACAGGGTAGCAACATGACAGCAGAAATGGTTAGAATGAACAAGAACTTGGCATAAGATTCTCAGTTCATTGAGATAGGGCTGTTTACAGGCATGGCCTCGCACAAGGCACTTCCTGATGTCTGTGCCTGGATGTGGCAACATCTGTGATGTATCTCCCACTGCCTGCTTCCATAAAACAAAACAAAACAAAACAAACCAGTTTCTGCTCAATTTCTTGATGCCAAGCATGATTTATGCTGCCCTGGCTCTGAACATGAGGCAAAGATGTGTCTTTATGATCATTAAACACAACAACAACAACAACAACAACAACAACAACAAAAACTCATACTTTTTATGACTGCTGGTGCAACCAATTCAGATCTTTTCTTGTTAATATTTTGTAATGAAAAATGAACTCGATGAAGATCGTGGCTTTTGAACTTCTTCATTACATAGTCAGTACTAAAACGGAAAAGAGCTGTCCCCCTGATAAGTGAAGCTGAAATGCATGTGTTACCCTTACCGTTCCACTTAACCTCTTTATTAGACATTGTCAGGATATCTGCAATGATGTCTTTTCAAGCATTTTGCCAATTACAAAATGATTATGTTTTCAAATTTGGGTCTAATAAAGGGCACTCATAACTGTGCAATGATATGGTATTTTATTTTGAAGTACAGCTTTAATAAGTAGATGTGTAGTTTCTTCGAAAATGATATATGTCATACTTACGGCTTGGGGATGATACGGTAGTGCAGTTGGTTATATAGCTGAAGAAGGGAAAAGCAACAAGTGTGGTGACTAGTAACGTCAATCAATCCACACCAGCCAGGCTCAAACTGTCAGTAGGTAGGATAAAGATACGGGGTTCCTGTGTCTATCAAGCATTTAAGAGGCTGTAGAATATGCTATTATAAGTCTGTGAAGAGGAAGAAACCATTGTGTTTTGTTATTTATTTTTAGTTTTCAGATTCTCAGAAACTTGGGCAATGCTAACAGGTAATCTGTTCCAGGATCCGGTGGGTGAAACATCTTTCCTTAAACACTAGAAGTTTCAGGTCATTCCATTTCTTCCCCTGCAGACAAAGTAACATCTTTTAGACATGGCTCCAGAGACCCACATGCCAGAACCCATGTGCCTCATTGGGAACAATGGGGAACAGCTAGTGGCTAACCAGGAAGCCCTGGAGATCCTGTCTGCCATCACACAGCCTGTGGTGGTGGTGGCCATCGTGGGCCTCTACCGCACTGGCAAATCCTACCTGATGAACAAGCTGGCTGGCAAGCAGAAAGGTAAGCAAAAGCAACAATGCTTTCTGAGTCCTCTCTATCATCTATACTGTGAGCATCCAGCTCAGAGTGAGAGAAGAGAAAAGTTGGGGATCCGTCTGAGTACTGAAAGCTAGTGTTTATGCCACAGTTGCTGATTGCATCTTTTAGTAGATAAAGGGAAGTTAGCTATCTGTTACTTAGCAGGTGCTTGTTTATTCCTCAACATCTTCCCAGAAAAAGCAAAATATATTTCTTTTACAGGAAGTAAAACATCAATGAAAAATTAAATGAAATAAACTCAAGCAATTGTTTTTAGAAGCATGAAATCATGTTTATGAAAAGAATGTCAGATCTTAACTTTAAGTCATTAATATTATCCATTTAGATCATCACTTGTCTTTTCTACTGTCTCATCATCTTGTTTCCTTTACACACTAGCTTAAATTCTCAAGGGAACTGCTGAATTCCAGATCCCCCTTCCCATCAATATCACTCATTTTGCCTTTCAGGCTTTTCTGTTGGATCCACTGTGCAGTCTCACACCAAGGGGATCTGGATGTGGTGTGTCCCTCATCCTCAGAAGCCAGACCACACCCTAATTCTGCTTGACACAGAGGGCCTGGGGGATGTGGAGAAGGTAAGGAAAGAGGATTCTGTTTGGATTGGATTTATCAGATTTATCTCCCTGTGTCATTAAATACTCTTACAACAGTGATTTCCCTTCTCCCCACCCATACAATTGGTATTTCCAGTTGACCGGAGTGTACTTTTCTTCAACAGTCAGAGTTTGGATACATGGAGTGAGAAAATCTCTTCATAAGGTAGAATCAGCACTGAGATTAGCAATGATGACCAATTAATTACATCCTAAGCACCGAAACACAGTGGGATTAAAATCATTGTTACAAACCTGTCCTACAGAGAGTTTGGGCTAATAGTTGGCTACTACATAGAGTTGCCTAAATCATACCTGTAGTGCCTCTAGTTCCATTGTTTTGACAAAAAAGAAGTCTCTCCACATGCTTTCCTGTTTGTCTTTTCTGACTCATTGTGGGAACACTGGCCATTCTGGCATTGTCTAGCTGCATTAACACACCACTCACCAAGAATAAAGCACTCAGTCCAAAGCATTTCACTTTTCCCCCAGAGTTCCCATCATCATTGACTTCAAGTTTCCTATGAAGAGTCCAATTTGGACTTGGGAAGATACGTCTTTTGTGAATCAGCATGGGCTGGTTCTTGGATGTAGCTAGACCTTCCTTTTGAGTGTCATTTGTGATAAAGCTTTTGTTTGCTTTTTCTTCATTAATTTTTTTTATTTGTCAAGATTCACAGATGACAAACCATAATTTAAACTTGATTTGCTCAATCTGCAGCCTGGGAAAAGTAGTTATAAACTCATTCTTAAGCATTGTCTTGGAGTGAGAGAAGATTGTTAATGAGACCATCTTAAGAGTAGTAACAAGTAACACAGATACATGTACCATGCGTATAAGGCAGTTTTGTTTTGCCCCTGTTAAACTTTAATTTTCAGTTCTGGTTACTTCATTAACTTTACTCATTTTGCAACTATCTATCTATGAGTCATCAGAAAAAAGACTAGTGAGTTAGCAATGAACAACTCAGTGTAAAATTACCAATGAGAAAAGCATGCAAAATGCATGCTTGCAAATTATTTCTGTTTTGTTTAATGTTTGTATATTAACATCTTGTTTTTGGTGATACTCACCCAAGAATGCCCTGAGACATAACTTAAATTGATTCTGATTTCTAGATTGATGAAAAGAGTGATATTCAGATCTTCGCACTGGCAATCCTTCTCAGTAGCACCTTGGTATACAACACCATGAACAAAATTGACCAGGGGGCTATTGACCTACTGCAGTATCCTTTTGTGGTCCAGGGAAGCACTGCACTGGAAAACAAAAACACCATACGTACACCTATGAGACCTTTTGAACTGATAACAGGAGCTAAGGAGATGGTTCAGTCAGTGAGGACATGCGTTTGGATCCATAACATCTATGTAAAAAGTCAGACATGGCAGTGTGTACCTGTTACCCCAAGGCTGGGTGTGGGGAGTCCAAAACAGTAGGATTCCCGAGGCTTGATAGACAGCTATAGAGCCAGTCAGGTAGCCCCAGATTCAGAAAGAGATTCTGTCTCAAAATAGAGAGAATTAGAAGAGGACAACCAATATCAGCATCTGGCCTCAACAGCTATGTACATCTGCACACACTGAAGTGCACACGCAAATACATACACATGTATACACCACACACACACACCACACACACACACACATACACATACCACACATACCACACATACACCACACATACATATACACACACACCACACACACAGATGCACATGCGCACACACACACCACACACACAGATAGACATGCACACATACACATACACATCACACACACACCACACACATACATACACACACACCACACATACACACACATACACATGCACACACATACATACACACCACACACACACACCACACACATACAAACACACACACCACACACACAGATACACATGCACACATGCACACACACACACACACACACACACACACACACACACACACCAGGTGTTTTTTCTTTTAGGTCACCAAACAGTTCCCAAATCATGGCATGATGACTTATTAGTTTTGTACACTCAGACTAGCTTAGGCACATTTCTGGCCAACTCTTTTAACTTAAATTTATTTGTTTATCTATCTTTTGCCCCAGGGCTTTTTACCTTTCTTATTTCTGAATGTCTTACTTTCACTGCTTCTTGTGGCCGGTGTCTGCCTGGCTTCCTGTCCTGGACATGTCCCTCATTCTCTCTTCCTTTTTTTCTCATTATTCCTTTCTTCTTTCTAGATTTCTCCTCCTATTTATTTTTCTCTGCCTGGCAGTCTCACCCACCCCTCTCCTGCCTAACTATTGGTTGTTCAGCTTTTTATTGAACCAATCAGGTAAGATGAAACAGATGCAACACATCCTTACATAATTGAACAAATGGAACATGTACAAAAGTAACACACCTTTACACAGTTAAAGTAATATTCCACAGCATAAACAAATGTAACACATCTTTACATAGTTAAAATAATTTTCTATAGCACGCATATTAAAATATAGTGCATAGTAGGCACACAAGGAGATGAGTCCTCATGTGTGTCACCAACATAGTGTTAATTTAGTTAAGCGCGGAAGGGAAAAGAAGAGATTTGAGGAAGCATTAGATACAGCCCTGATCTGCCAATCTCCTCAACTGTGTCTCAGCAATGTGACGGAACTGACAGATCTGCTCCACACAAGAAATTCCTCTGACCTGAGTGAAATTAAAGAACCTGCTGACTCGAGCTTCTTTCCAGACTTGGTGTGGACTCTGAGAGATTTCTTCCTGAGTCTGGAAACAAATGGCCATGCCATCACACCAGATGAATATCTGGAGAGCTCACTGAAGCTGAAACAAGGTAACAGAGCTTCAGCTTGGGAGGAAAGAAAGAAAAGTACCCAGGAACTTGTTTTCTTACAGGCATCTAAGTATATAATTTTCTGTATTTACCCACCAAGCACTTCTACAAAGTAACAATGAGTATTTAATTTAGAATGCACTAATAGATTCAATATTAAATTCTATTAGTCTTCAGTTATTGAACCAATTTCTCTCTCTCTCTTTGTTTTCCTCCTCTTTTTGTTTTAGTCTTTTTGCTTAATGCAACATTAGGGTTCAGGATATTTATTTAAATTAAATAGATTAAAGTGCCCATAAACTATATTCTAGATAAATCCTGTACTTCTTTCTCCAGGTAGTGATGAAAGGACTCAAATGTTCAATCTGCCCCGATTGTGCATTCAGAAGTTCTTCCCGGTGAAGAAATGCTTTGTTTTTGACTCCCCGGCTGACAGAAATAAGCTTTCCCAGCTCCACACACTTAACAGTGAAGAGCTGAGTTCTGAATTTGTGCAAGAGCTGTCAGAATTCTGTTCTTACATCTTCACCTATTCCAAGACCAAGACTCTCCCAGGGGGCATCCAGGTCAATGGATCTCGTGAGTACTTTTTAGAAGGATTTTATTCCAACTCATCATAAAGAATCAAGGATGCATAGAGCTTCTTTGTTGATGAATTGACAAATGGATCAGTCATTGTCAGAATGGAAATCCAATGTGCCATGTTGACAAAGTTGCAGCAGATACCAAGCACACCTCTACTGTTACTGTTCTTTCAGTAAATTCTCAAAGTTACATAAAAAAAATCCTAAGGATGAAGATGTCAAGTTAGAGAAGTTTATTTATTTATTCTGAAAATCCATTTATTCTGAAAACAGATTAACTCATGTGGGTTGACAATGTTTCCATAATATACATTAACTACATTTTTATTATATGACACAGTATTTGATATGCACAAGATAAGATAAATACATACATGTTTCCTGTAGAAAAAGAATTTTTCTGTTAAAAAATTTCTATAGCTGTTGAATATAATCCCATATTGTTTAGGATTCTGAAAGATGTCTATACAAGCTCTTTAATGCAGTTTACCTTAACCCCATGTTTTAGAACTTGCAATTATTATGAAAGGAATCTGTATTACTTACATGCAGAATATAGCAAGGAATACAAGCAAAGGAGTTTTGATGAAGGTTGCTGGATCCTATTTACGGGGGAAAGTAACTCATATCAGTTTAACCATGATAAAATAAAACAAAAAGGAAAAATATTTGAATGAAACAGAAAACAGAAAAAGAAAAGGTATTGGAAGCTTAGCAAATCAAAGGGCTAAAGCATCTGATTGCAGATGAATACCTGCGACTTTTTAATGATCACCTTATTCCTCCAAAGATAAGGGTAAAATGCAGGTCATCACATATATCTTGAGAATTCTTCTTTTTCTTCTTTCAGCCTAACTTTCTTCTTTCAAAGAGCTAACTTGATTAGGTTTCTGTTGCTGTTTTTATACGTTTTTTTTTTTCCTCAAAGAACTACGCAGCTTCTTCATTTCATAGTTCTTCAAAAACTTCCCTGGGTCTCTTGAATACTATGAAGAATGCTGAAAAAATACAGGAAGTACATAGTTAGCATTCTCAGAATGATTATATATAGATCTTAGACTCCTTTTCTACAAATGAGACACATCCCTCCTTCTGTGAAGGTCTAGAAGGCCTGGTGTTGACCTACATCGATGCCATCAGTAGTGGGGCCCTGCCCTGCATAGAGAAAGCAGTGGTAACCTTGGCCCGAAAAGAGAACTTGGCTGTAGTGCAAAAGGCCATCGCCCACTATGACCAGCAGATGAGCCAGAGGGTGCAGCTGCCCACAGAGACCCTCCAGGAGCTGTTGGACCTGCACAGGACTTGTGAGAGCAAAGCCATGGAAATCTTCAGGAAGCATTCTTTCAAGGACGAGGACCAATGTTTTCAGAAGGAATTGAAGGTTATTATTATCTGTATTTGTTTGTAGCTATCAGGTTCAACAGAAGGCAAGAATACTTCTACAACTGGTAAAAGTAAAAACATCAGTTCCCACTACATTGGCATTAATATGATTTATGTGGCGTTAATATGAGTTAATTTGGAAAACAGTAAAGCCTGTAAAGATTCTTGCTTCAAAAGTATGGACATTTACACACACACACACACACACACACACACACACACACACACACACACCTCACATGTACTATGTGATAGTTATGAAAAAAACTTGAATTTCTTTCACCTCACACAAAATCATCATTAACAATGTATTTACTTTTTATTGATCAAGTATGTAGACTTGCCTTCTCATCTATTAAGTTCTGATGGATGAAGGATTAACAGAATAAGAAGATAGTGTAGCCAGTGACTCAATTTCACATACCTTAGATGTAGAAAAACTCTGAAAAAAATGTTTAACAGTTGTGTTTAAAATTAGGGTGCAAGTGAGAGCTCTGTAACGATAAAATCACATCTAAGGTGGAAATAGCATCTTGAGAAGAGTTTCAAGTAATCACTATTAAATTCAGTGGAACACACACACACACACACACACACACACACACACACACACACACAGCAGAGTGACTTTTTGGGTATAAGAAGGGTTTCAGTAGATGGAGCAGAAAAGATGAGGTTAAATAGTGGGGGTAAATATGAGTAAACCTCATAAATGCACAAATGTTGGAAAATATCAAGATATGATGGGGAGATTGAAAATACAAACAAGTTGGGCAGTGGTGGCACATGCCTTTAATCCCAGCATTCACGAGGCAGATGCAGGCATATTTCTCTTCTCTGAGTTCAAGGGCAGCCTGGCCTATAGAGCTAGTTCCAGGACAGTCGGGGATACACACAACAGTAATTCTGTCTCAAAACAAAACAAAAGTAACAAGAGAGAATATTCTACTCACAGAAGTTCTTTATCACTGTTTCTTGATAAACAACTTAATAAACCAGCTGTTTAAAAGGAAGACATTTCTAACTGCCAAGTAAACACAACTTTTCATACAGTATTATCTTTGCAAATTTTCCAGCTTTGATAAGGATATGATTTTTACATACAGTTCTCTAAGTTTCTAAGAAAATGCAGATTTCTTCTGAAAAACAATTCCCAGAAACATGGAAGTGTGCCTAACATCTCCATGCTTTGTTTGTTTGTTTTCCTTTAAAGACCTTACCAAATACAAAGCAGGGTGAGCTTTGTAAGAATGTCTTGAAGAACAATTTCCAGGAACACTGAAGTAAGTGTACCTAACATCTCCATGTTTTCTTTAAAGTGCCTACTGAATGCAAAGCAGGATGAGATTTGTAAGAAGAACATGGAAGCCTCTGAAAACCACTGCTCAACTCTACTTCAGAATATTTTTAAGCCTCTGGAACAGGAAGTGGCACAGGGGGTCTATGCTAGACCAGGAGGCCACAATCTCTTCCTTAGAAAGATGGAACAGTTGAAGGCACAGTACCGTCAGCAGCCAAGGAAAGGAACTCAGGTACCCTTCATTCCTGGTACAGGTGCAGAGATGTGAATTATGTCTCTGTTTGTGATTTACTCTTCTGCTGAGTGAAATGCACTTGGCATAGGTGTTATAGCAGAGAACTTCTACTTCAGCCACAGCTTTAGATGAAAGCAACCCTTCACTGTCATCACTAGAGTTCAGTTGTAACCGACAGTGTTTATGAGCATCAAAGGGGCTGGTTAGGGTTACACAAGACAGAATCTCAGTAAGTGAAGCCAATTTAGGGAAAGCTAATAATTGACTGGCTTAAAAAGTTTTTATTTCAAGTATAGATACATGCCAGAGTTCAAATGATGTCATCCATTTTCCTTCTTGTATTTCTTCCCAAACCTTCATTCATTTTCTTGACTGTTGGCTTCATTTTCAAGCAGCTCCCCCCACTTTCCAATACAACACACACACACACACAACACACACACACCTCCAAAATCCTCTTCCATGACCCTAGTTTAGTTTGCCTTTAGAGACTTACATCTCAGAAGAGGGCAAGCATATCTATTCCAGCACCCATATTAGTTTTTAAAACACCCAAAGTTCAGTGTTTATCTACATGTAAATAAGATTGTTAGGTGTAGCATCTCTGGGTGCTCTGATTGGTCATGCCAGCATCATTCCCATGGGTGAAGATTGAAGAGCAGACCCATCACGTACAGGCTGAGCATCCTCTAGGAGGGAAAGATAGTGGGAGAAGAAATGAAGACATTTTCCAGGTTGCAAATGAGCATTTCCTAATTCTAACAGTGTGTTTTGGGGTTCCCAGGCTGAGGAAGTGCTGCAGAAATATCTGAAGGCCAAAGAACAACTGAGCAATACAATTCTACAAACAGACAAGTCTCTCACAGCCAATGAGAATAGGAGGAAAGGTGAGAAATAAATGGAGGCAATGCATGACAAGAGGCTAATTAACATGGCCTTCCTGTGCAAGGAGAGGGCACTGTACTCATCCTAGAGGCTTGTGACTTTCCTTTCTCTTCAGCTCAACAAGCGAGAGCAGAGGCTGCAAGGGCTGAAGCACGGAGGTTGGAGGCAGTTCGAATCCAGGAAGAGAAGAGGAGAGCAGAGCAGGAGAGACGGCATCAAGAGGAACTGAGGCAAATAGAGATTTCCAAGGCAAACTTCCTGGCAGAGCAAGAGAGGATCAGGAAACAGAGGATTCAGGTACTTGTGAACTGTTTCCCCTCAGATGTTACTCAGCTACTCAGCCTCCTGTCTGTATGATGGCCCACAGGGAAAGGCAGTCTCACAGGGTAGCTCAGGGCAGAGACCCTGAAGCCAGACTGCTGGATGTCAACCACAAGCACCACCTTTTACCAAATGTATGTCTATGCATGTTGTCTTTCCTCTCTGTACTTCAGTGCAACATAGGGGCAGGAACAACATGTACTTTACCAGGTTATAATAAATACTTAATATTTATGTTTAGAACAGAGTATACATTATCACTTATTAAATAAGATTGAAGGCATTTCTTGATTAACTACATTCTGTCACTTGCCTTGGACAATCATATGTCTTGATCATGGCTTTTTTTTTCTGTCTTGCCTTGATCATTTCTCCTATTTAACACATACAAATCCCTTTGTATGCATTATCTGATCTAATAGTTCTGCCATGAAGCAGAACTATTTTGTTCCCAGTTTCCAGGTGAATTAAGTGAATTTCCATAAAAATAACTCAAAGACTGGCAGCACACAAGCTTGCAAATAGGATCTCAAGCATTGCTGCCTCCACAGAGATGGTGTGACATTCCTACCCCCCCCCACACTCATAAACTATCCCTACCCATCCCGTGACTGACCAGTATATTTACAAGCAGTAGCTTTACCAGTAACTACTCAAACATATTTCTGATATCCCAGCGCTTTCCTGAAAGGCAGAGTTGACAATCACTACTGTCAGTCAAAGCGTGGCCACCTGGATCCTACTCTTTAGCTAGGACTCAGATGGCTGTGTCACTCTGTGCACAGCTTCTTCTTCTTGTAGAAAAATACCTGACAATATTCCGCATGTAAATGGGAATTGCGGTAGTATGTGACTGAGATTGCCTAGGTAAACTTTTTTTTTTGTCTAAGGAAGAAGGGCATGTTGGGTTGGAATTCTACAGACACTAACATTTCAGAGACTGAAACATGCTGTCTGGAGTGGGAGACAAAGCGTGAAAATTGAGAGACATGAGAAGTGGGCTTTACCTGTGTGGATGAAGCATTGTTCAGGGATTGTCTGTTGCTACGATAGAACAATAAGTAAGGACAAGCCAATGGTTTAGGAAAGAGAAACGGAGTTTGGTGTTATTTTTACTAAGCTTTATAATTTCTCCTTATTTCTTCTTAGGAAGAGGCTTCGAGAATCCAAGCAGAGCAAGAAGCTAAACTCAGAGAACTCCAGCAACAGCTTGAAGCCACAAGGGCAATGAGCCATTACTCATCACACAATGACTGTATCTTACTCTAAAGCACCAAAATCATCTCATTGAAGACACAAAGGAGCAAAAGGGACTTGAGACAACCGCTGGTTAGAAAACCCCAGTGCTCCTGTCTGACTGCCATATTTGTCTCAAGGTATTTCACATTACCTAGGGGATGATAACTTGGCCAATATTTGGACTCACATGTGTATCTCTCCTGTTGGTAGACACAGAAAGAAAGTTCCAAGGAAAAATCAGAAGCAGTGCATATTTCTCAACTGGGTGGAGGTCCCTAGTCTGTGGGCAGTGTGGCCCCTCAGCACTGTTAGCTGGCCATTTGCACATTCTCTTTATCTGTGCTTCTTCTTTGGGAGCCCAATCTCATTGTAGTAACCCTGGTCACATGCCCAGCTATCATGCCACTCACTTAGAGGTAGATTTGTTTCTACTGACTGTCTTATCTTCCAGGTTCACATTCTATGTCTTGATATGTTCATCACAGAAACTCTTCACTAATACAGTGTTTTTGATATAAAGAATTGCCAACCGGCTCTGTTTCCGTTTTTCTTTCTTTCAGTCTACACCTGCCCAGGCAAATTGCTCACTTTCTACCAGATTCTTATACAGTAATTATACTGTTTTTAAATGGTCTTAGCGGTTTAAGGTTCAAAAATTTTAAATGATTTATGACACTCTCTGTTCATGCATCTATTTTATCTCTTTAAAATAAATAACTGTACTTGGTTTTTCTGTGTGTCTCAAAATTCTTTTAGTTAAATGCTCTGCATTATTGGTTACATAGTTAAGATATGGATTTATGCTTGGAATATGCATTCCCCCTTTGTATTAAGATGATTCTGGCAATCATTGGCTCAATGTAGTTGTACAGATGGAAATGATGTTAGTTTCTTCTAGTAGAATAGCTCTTGCCTGTATCCACCAAGAAGATAGCACACACACACACACACACACACACACACACACACACACACACACACACACACAGAGCATTATTTGCATATGCAAGTCTCATTACATGGAATGTAAATGTGAAAAAGCTCTCTTGCTCACACTGACATTCACACATAACAGGATAGAAGCATCCTAGCAGAAGTAAGAAATGAAACAGATAAAATGTAGCATTTTTAGCATTTATAAATATTATTGGTGAAGATGTCATTCTGTAAATATGTTTCTCTTATTGGTTAGTGAATAAAGCACTGTTGGCAAACAGGAAGGCATGATAGGCGAGACTAGGAGACAAGGAGGATTCTGAGAGATGTAGTAAGGAGATTCAAGATGTAGAGACTTGAGAGGAAGAGTTCTGGACCCTCTCTCCGGTAAGATAAGACCACATGGAAATACTTAAATTAATAGAAATGGGTTACTATTTAAGACAGAGCTAGCCAGTAAGAAACACTAGTAACAAGCTAACAGCTTTATATCTAATGCAGCATCTCTGTGTTATTTGGGGCTGACACAGCTACAGGACCAGGCTGGTGGGAAAACTACTTATAACAGTTGGTTATGATTTTTTTCTCATTTTAAAGAAATGTTTACCTTTGGGCTTGAATAGTTACTATTTACTTTAGAGCACCAGTTAAGTTGGCTCTATGACATTATAGTCCAGATAGACAGAATAAGCAGAGGACACGATCTGTAAGAGCATTCAACAAAGTGAGTTTTTACTTCTGGATGATAGCACTTGGAATTTTTATATACAATCCATGTCTATCTGTCTATCTGTCTGTCTGTCTATCTATCTATCTATCTATCCTCTATCTATTATCTGTCATCTATCCTATTTTGATGAAAGGACTAAATTATATTAATAACACCAGTACTTTTTAAGGAATGGTGAGGATGGAAAGAAAAGAGAAGAGAAGAAATGAGCATAAATTATGAATTCCAAATTGGCTGTTGGGTAAAAACATGAGAAACCAGCTTAGGTGACCAAATGTTAGCATGTGGTCAGATATGCCATGCCCATGATTCAGCCTCTCCATTTGGTTCCTGCATGCTCCAAGTCTTAGGACACACTGCTCCTCTTTGGGCGTTCATGAGGGGCTGTAGCAAAGAGCAGAAGTGTGCAACCTATTATTTTCTGCCTAAAGTGGGCTTACAGAATGAGAGACCAAGCCCTAGGCCCTCTGCAGAGATACTGCTGTGCAGTGGTTTTCTCCTGGCTGCTACTTACAATCTTAGATGCTTCTGGACACTTTCTGATGGGCTTTGCAAAAATAAAAATATGCTCATGTTATAGATGGCTTAGCTGACAGAATTTGTACTTTGAATTTTTTTTTTAAATATAGCCACACTTAAAAGTCCATAGGTTCCACAATGTTTATGGAATACTTCATTCCCTGTGGATTAAGTATCTGTGAAAAACAGCTATCAGGGTTGCTCTTATTTCTTTATCTTGTACTTTTTTAAAAAAATGTATGACTCATGCATACATCAATATAATATACTAGAATTAATCTCATTCTAGCTATTTTTTAGTTAAACTATCTTATATCTTAGGTTTCATTATCTCCGCTCTCCTTTGCAGTAAGAACAAAATTGAAAAGCAAATAAATAAACAGCAACCCCCCTTACAGCGTATAACTTTGTATATATTTCATATATTCCTTCCTTTGGAACTCAGGGATATACATCTGCAATGTAACACCTACACCTAGGGCTCTGAAAAAAAAATATGGGAGAAGGGCAGAGAGGTTGTAAGATGCAGAGGGCCAGGACCTCTGCTGCCAGATCGTGTCCTCTGGACAGAACAAGGAAAATGCACCCAAGAAACCGCAACAATATTGTTGCCTGAACAAGATCAGTATAACAGCAACACCAGATGAGATGCTAACATGGACAGAGAAAGTTCTATGCAGTTTACTCCTAGATGAAGAGCACTACAGGAAGTCAATGACTGCTTTGAGGGAGCATCAGTCATCAGTTTCTTCCCAGGAAGAATTCCCACATAAATTGTCCAGTTCCAGGTGGTCAGTAATCTTGAGCACTTATGAGCAACATTAAACAGACTCAGCAAAAAAGACAACCTAGAGAAAAAAAAATCTTGAAATGATCTTAGGTATCAGAGCAAGTCCTGAGAAGGGAAAGGCTCATAAGAAGGCAGGATCATCTAATCTCCATCGTTTTTCTTTGACATCAAGTTTTGAGAGCCATTGAGGCCCATGATACTGGTGATTGGCAATTGCTTCCTGTGGATTGTTATTACTTGAAAGATTCTAGTGGTTGTAGTTTCAAATTATCTTGGAAAATTGACAAAGTCATGTCAATACAATTAGTACTGAAATGAACATATGTAGAGTGCTTTCAATGTCACAATTTCCCAATTTCCCAAAGAGTCATACTCTTTCTTCAGTGTTTTGACCTGTCTTCACTAGTAAACATAGATCATCAGACTGGAAGTTGCTATAAATACAAAATCACAATGAAATCAAATGATACTTAAATTATTTTATGCAATATATTTTACTACTGGATGAATAGTCTCATACTTCAAACAAATGAAATTTAGGCAACAAATGACTGAGAGAAATCATAGAAATAGCTTTTCAGTAAAATCACCAAATCCCTCTTTTTATTCTTCATGTGATCATCTTCATTCTCTAACCTATGTAAAGAGTTATTTTAATATTATAAGACTAACATGTATTATTTGCTTGTATAGATTACTGATGGCATCTAGAGAGGATATCTACTTCATTTATTCATTCCCTTACTCATTATGTGAATAAGCATGTATTTGATCATAGGATATAGATCACAGAGACATATAGTAGAGTTTGGACATTTATGATAAATGTGCTACAAAGTTGTGAAAAAAAATATACCCCAGATTCTAGGTTAATTTAAAGGAAGTAGGTGGAGATTCTGATAGCAGTTTTGCTTATATTTATAATCTACTTCTATATTGACCTCAACAACTTTTGGTTTCATCCTAACATTTTTTTTGCTTTTAAAATATTTAAAATAAAAAATTTTTGCTTTTAAAATATTTTAAAATAAAATCGCATGTTACTTTACTTTAAAGCCTCCTTTTTATTCCTGATGCTGCAATAATAATCAGATGTACTTCCGAGATTTAATATATTTTATTCATTAACCACTCAACAAATATTTGACAAGAACTCAGGGGCAGACACAACACAGTGGCTGAGTAAAGCAGATAGTAAACAATTGGCAGAGTCAGTAATGCAATTCAGTGTATGCCATAGCAATTCAACCCACAGGGTGTAGCAAATCCACATTGCTGGGGCACTTGTCACGTCCAGGGAACCTGAGAGGGTGTGTACATTGAGGAAAGAAATATACAAGGGACAAGAGATAGAATCTGGAGGGCACCTGGTGAATACCAGGATCAGCTCCAAGCTTATTACTCAAAGTTCTTATATATCACAACCAAAAGTGGGGGGGGGTGTACAGGGGAGGCAAGAGACTTCCTTACCAAGATACAAAGAACAAGCAAGCATGATTACCTTTTTGATACCCCAAACCTCAAGTAACTGCATCCTAATCCAAATATCCTGTTGTCAAGGCAAGACACACAATAGCCACACCTTAGGCCAACCATTCTGTGGTTTCACATCGAAAGAGCAATAGTGGGTTTGAACTCTCTGACCTTACATCAAGATGAAACAGCACCATTTCTGTGGGCCCTGATAACATAAAAAGGTCTGAAGAGCTTTCTTGGAAGAGAGACAGAGGTATTGAGATGAAGGAACAACACATATACTAAGGTCTAAAGGACAGACAAGCAGCCAGATAGAGGAAAATTAATGTATAGATATGAAAAAATAAAAAGATCAGTTGGGTGCTTGGGGAACTGTGCAACAATGTTGCTGTCTGGAACCTGGTGTGAGCTGCGAACTCGTCATTGGGGCAGGAATAGTGCTAAGGGGCTAAGAGGAAAGCTGTAGGGAGTTATTCATATCTCACAATAATCTGAACTTTAGTTCTCCTATGGCCAGAAAGAAAACACAAGCTATTTCAAGAAAGGATGCGAACTTTACTGGCTCTGGTGTATGATTGTGTAGAACAATGATACATTCAGAAGAAGCTGAAAGGGTGCCTGCTGTTTCTTGTGCTTCCTTGGGCAATAATGTCGCTCTGGAAATTCCTGGACAGTAAGGCAGAGGTGTGAAAATCCATCCTTTAGTTAGCCCTTTCCCTGATGAATACAAGAGCTCACGTCTTAGAAGGCTGGACGGGAAGAGTTTCCTATAGCTATATGCATTTCTCTCTTTCCACGGAATGCACACTGCTGAATCTGAAAACTAACAAGTGTGTGTATCTGTGGTTGGATGTCAGCTGAGCAGGTCTTGGCCGCTATATTGTAGAATCAGCTCTTGATGGCTCAGGAGAAAATAGCAGTTAGTAGGTTGTCCTCTGTGTCCACTGCCTCTGCCTAGCACTAAGTGAGCCACGAAGGAAACCCTGAAAGAAACTGCAAAGAACAAAAAGAAGCAGGAGTATTGACCAAATGAAGGAGGAAAAAAGAGAAGACACGGGAAAGCCACCGGAAAGCAGGCGATGGAGCTGGAGCACACATGACTCATTTAAGGCTCAGATCCACCTAGATTCTGTTGCAGTCCTTGAACTCACATTATTACAGTACTTCCCACATAATGTGTCATTATTTTCTGGTGACTTCAGGACAATCTCATTGTGCTCCAATTGAACAGTGTCTTGGTCCTAGATTCCTGTAGTTTTACCATCTTGCTACAGTGATCAAGTCAATTTGAAGTAGATCCATTTGGTCTTGAAAAAAAGCATCACAAAAAAAGCCTTTTAAATGAAAGCTATAAAACTTGTATTATTTTTTTTCTAGGATTTGCCCAATTCACCATGTCTTCTGTTCAACAAAATGCATTCATGTCCTAGCCTTGAGTCTGACAACCAGTATTCAACAGAGTTCACAGTTTCCATTGTTTGATGGGCTAAGTTTATGTCAATTAACTAACAGATGGGAATCAAACCTACATTCCCAACTAAAGGGTAATCTTAAGACATTCTAAGGGATGGTTCTCAGGCCTGTCCTAGCCCCTTGTCCCCCTTAGCTCAATAAGATGACTCTAGGGAACACCAGGGAGGCATCAAGCATGGACACTTTACTATTCTGTTCTAAATATATATGCTCCTTAACCGAACATGAGGTTACATCTCAACTACAAAATCACCCTAAAACGAAATGCACCAAAATGTTTAACTAACCCAAGCTTGTGTGGTATACACATCTCAAAAAGGAATGTTAACTGCTTGAAGAGATAACTGTGTTAAGTCAATCTACACCATGCATCATGTGATGTATACAGTCTGTATACATGTGTGGAAACATCCATTGCCCTGTTAATATGTACAGTATTAATATCACACATGCGCCGAAAATTTTTAAGTTAAAAAAGTTTCCATTTCCATCAAATTCTTTGTATAAGCTAGTAGCTCGCTGTGGCAGGAGCTGGCAAATCCTTGTTGCAACACTCTGTTATTACCCAATAAAAATCAGTATTTGGAGAGTCAGCAAATTGTTTTCGTCTGATCATCTGTCAGAGAACTTCAGGAATTTTCTCTTGTTTTCCACAGATTTCCTGAAAACGGTGCAAAGTTCAGGAAGCAAGCATAAGCCAATGTAGTTTCAATTTCAGTTCTCTATCTCCACAAGTGGGTGGATGCTACATCCGGTTTGACCCCGACTCTTTAATGAAAAGAGCTTTAAGGAGGAACCAGGCACAGCTGTAAGCCTAAGGATACAGAGCCTGGGTAGTGGAGAATCTTCGCTCACAGTCAGGTGAGTTCCTTGCGACCCGGTAACTAACACACACATCTCTAAGGGGGATGCAACAAGGTCTCGAGGTCCCGGGGCGCACGCAAACTGTACGCTGAGTGCAAGGTGACACTGGCCCTGGTGGGCGCGGTGACAAGGGGCAGCTCTGCGGCCACCGGGCGTGTGGACAGCTCTGCTTGTCATGGAGGCGCAGCCACAGCCAGGCACGGAGGAGGATGCCAGGTTCCAACCGGAACAGCTGCTCCGGGCTGCGCAATCCTACGCACATCTTCACCTTAAGGGGGCGAAGTCCTTTCTACTACAGAGGGACCTAATCCCAGGCTCCAGGTAAAGCTTCTCCCTCACCCACCACAGGGCTCAGTTGCTCCCTCCCTGTGTGCCGCCTGGAGTTGAAGAAACAGAAAACAGAGCCACGTCACGTCATATCACGTCATATCATGTCATGTCATGTCATGTCATGTCATGTCATGTCATGTCATGTCAGACAGACTGAATCCTCAATGCGGGTTTGGTGCATCTCTGTGGTACCAGCTGCACTCTGGCGCCCTGTGGTGTGGAATTAGTCCAAAGTTTAAAACAGCCAGCGGTAAAGTCTGAGCCTCTTGTGTTGTTTCAAAGGGTGTGTGGTCCATCCAAGAACGCTTTGGCGGACTTGTGAAACACCTAGGGCTGAGGCGGTTTTAACTGTCTTCTGTGTGCCTCAAGCTACCTTTGGAAACTGGATGATTTACAAGACCCAAATGAAGCTATTGTAAGTTTGATTTGTTTAACGTGGATTTGAAGCTTCTTAGTTGAGATAGTAATTCAGAGTAATTCAGTCCTGCATGAAAATGGGGAGAAAAAAAAAATGACATGCTCATCAATGTTTTCTTATTGAGAGAGAACTGACCATTACGGTAATGTCTTTCACAGAGTATGAGGTGAAGTGAAACCTTCCCATTTGCCACCTACTCCTAATTGATGTTAAGAAAAAAAAAAAAAAAAAAAAAAAAAAAAAAAAAAGCCCCACAGTAATTTTTAAGCTGATACCCCAAGACAAACAGCATCTCAGTCCATTACATTTTATGTCATAATGGCATGTCATTCTTTAATCAATAGAGACCGTTTAGTACTTCCCAGTTTAAGAAATTTATCAGTTTAGAAATCTGAATCGGGAAAGTCGATTCGGACAGGGAAATTTTGGAGGTAGGGTCTATAAAATGGGGACAGGAAGACTGGTGGTTCCCCCTCCTCCACTGAGTCTCTTATCGGCTTTCTAGCATTCATTGAACATGCCTCTATAGCCTCCAACACGTGCGAAAATGAAAGGCAATAGCATTTAAGCATGCAGGATCCTTTTATGTGATAACACAGGTATGATACCACCTTCAGAGCTTTGCCCACAGGAGTATTTATTAATTAGGATGCATTTTCAGAGAAATTAGCCACGGGAGAGAAATAATATTCATGTGTCATCTTCCACATCATGGTCAGGAAGCCAATGGGGGATGACGAGTTGCCAGTGTAAGGCCACATACTTGTCACTTATCATTGTACAGAAAGTAAGTTGAGGGTCCTGGGGCTGATCTGTTAGTAGAGTGCTTGCAGCACTAGCTTCACCTCTCAGCCGAATATGAATTAGGCATGGTGATACCCATCCATGCTCAGAGGCAGCAGAATCAGTAGTTCAAGATGAGCCTCTGCTACAAAATAAATAAATAAACAAATAAATAAATAAAAATAAAAAATTAGAGGTCATCCTGGGCTTGGTGGGATACAACCTAAAAAAACAAAACAAGCAAACAAAAAAAAAAAAAAAACCCTAAAATATAATAAAGCCCCTGTCTCCCACCAAGGGAAAAAAATCATTATTAGAAAGCCAGGTGTGATGGTGCACACACGTAATCTCAGCAGACAAAGAAACTCTATGGTGGGATTGGTTTTTCAAGACCAGTCCATACTACATAGAAAGTCTGATGCTAGCCAGAGCCATGTAAGACTTTGCTGAAGTAGAAAAGGGTAATAAAGACCAATTATTGGATTGACTTAAAACATCATGCTTGTATTGCTTGTTGCCAAGCATGCCTTCATTTGCTCACTGGACTAGAACCAACTGGAGAAATAGCCAAAACATGGTACGTTGTTGCCCTTAACCTCACTACAAAGGCTTTACACCTACCAAATGTAACATGTTCTTGTAAAGCAAAAAACAAACTGCCATGTATGCTTTTGAAAAACAAAATCACCCTTGCTTGCCTGCTTGCCACACTTTGTGGTCGTAGAGTGTAAAATGTGAATGCAAACTAGATTCCAGAAAGAAACTTTCAGGAGCCATCTTGGCTTTGGTCCACTGGTGAATATATCTCCTCTCTTCTACTCTTATTGGTTTTGGAGTGCTTATCCCAGACAGATTACTGAAGCTTTGTCAGCCAACTCCAATAACAACAAAGATGAAATAAGCAATAAACAAAAACTTAAGTTGATGGGCACATTGCAGAAATACATGCCAACTGACCTGCCGCTAGAGGTGGCTTGGAGACCTCAACTGAGAAAGTGTTTTGTGTTTGCAGGTTATCATGGTATTTGGTGTCAGCATGGAGGCTCCCATCTGTCTAGTGGAAAATGAGAATGAATACCTGAGGGTGAATCCCAAAGCAGTAAACATTCTTGAGAAGATTACGCAGCCTGTGGTGGTGGTGGCCATTGTAGGGCTGTACCGTACAGGGAAGTCCTACCTGATGAACAGGTTGGCAAGACAGGACCATGGTGAGTGCTGTCCTTAGACAGAAGGACAGAGGCCATTTGCTTAGAATCATTAACAGGGCAAACTAACCATTCTCTCCTGCTCACATCAATTCCCATCTTGTTCCCATTTTTCTCTTCTTAGTTTTACTATTTACGATGCAAATGTAATTCATTGTGTTTTGCTTATTAAAATAATGAAGATGGGGTGGTGTAAGGAAGCAAGAAGGGAAGGAGGGTAGGGATGTTGGGCAACTGGATTTTGAAAACTACTCTGTGAGGCAGGAAAATAGAGAGGAGAGAGAAATAGAGGGAAAGAAAGGAGGAGAAAGAGAGGAGTGGGAGATGAGGAGAAGTGGATAAGGAGAGAGGGAAGGAGGAAAGAGGGAGGATTTGATTTCATGGCATATCTTACTTGAGTCATCTCTTTATTTTTCTGCCTTACTTCATCATAGCATTTTAACAAATATATATATATATATAATTCTCTCCTAAGCCTTTTCAAATATATGTAATGACACACACACACACACACACACACACACACACACACACGGTTACATAAAATACATAATTAATAAAGACAATTCTTATTTCTGTACTGACTAGGTAAAAATATAAAACTTTGTTAGCATCCAAATACTTTATTCATATCATCTTATACTTTCCCAAGGCCCATCAATATTCTTATTTGCAGGAAACTTCCCCCATTGATTTACAATACTAGTTATGAAATCTAACTATGCATCTATAAAAGTAAGTTCACCTTGACCTACTTTTAAACTTCTTAAGGAGTATTCTTACACGTATTTACATAAAACACATGTCTATTTTAATGTATCAGAATTCATGTGTTGGACATATTCTGATATCTCTGGCTTCTTTTGCTCACAAATTTATAAAATCCATCTGGGTTTGTCATACTTATTACTAAATTACTTTTAAAAGAGTTCGTAGTATGTCAGTATGTGAAGGTGGCATTTGTTGTGGTGAGCACTGATTTCTTTGCAGAGCTTACTGTGGAGAGCAAGGCTTTCCCACAAAAGCTTGTCTTCATGCTGGCACATTTTTGCACAAACTTCTCTCAGTGTAGCATAACCAGAGTGAATCTAGATTCAGGACTTTTGCATGTTCAGTGTTTCCCAATGACATCAAGTTGCTTTTTAAACTTTATGTATAATTAACATTTATTAACAGCAACAGAGAATTCTGTACTTCTTTATACAAACTCCCTCTGATTTTAATTTTTGTTAATGTGGTGAGTTTTGCTCTGTGCCATTAGCTTATAGACAAGGCGAGACTGCTCTTCATGTCTTGCAATTGGCATGTCTTACTTTATGCACATTCAAGTATTTCAAAAATTAAGTCATTCAATCTGCCCTGGTCCCACTACTTTCCTCTTCCTAGAAAGAACATGCAGTGCATGCAGTGGCTGTTTTCCTCCTAATATCTTGTACCTGAATCAACTCAGTGTCATTGTGGGTAGAACTTCTGTCTCCTGTATTCTAAGGATTCATGTGCATGCATGCATGTTGCTTTCTTATTCTCTGTTGCAGGCTTCAATCTGGGCTCCACAGTGAGGTCTGAAACTAAGGGCATCTGGATGTGGTGTGTGCCTCACCCCACCAAACCAAAATTCACACTCGTGCTTCTGGACACGGAGGGTCTTGGTGATGTGGAAAAGGTAAGCCAGAGAGTTATGGAGGCTGGTCTTTATCCTTTGTGTATCATTTGATTGTTGCTTTAGTTCAACTTCTGTGCTGATGGTAAGAATTGCAAGCAAGTTATTGACGAGGAGACTAAGCTGCTTCCCTTGGGGGAATGTACTCCTTTGGTAAACTCAAAAAGTTTGTTATAATGGAGGACAGTCTTGTTTTTGCACTTTGTGAATAATAGAGTTAAGTAATTATTTTTGAGAAGCTGAATTCTAGGATTTCATACTGTATACTAGAGGTCGTATAGTACTTGATTCAGGCTCATTATTAGTCTAGGAAAAAGGAGATGTACACTATGAGATCAGTCCAAAGTGTTGTGAGTTCATAGAAGTAGAAAATAAATCAAGTTGTCTGAATGGATAATGCTTTCTGAAGGGAAGTTGTCACCTATTAGGTCATTGAACTTTGAATTTAACTTGTAGGTAGCAACAACAGCTTTGGATGTCGATTACTGTGGATGTAGGGCTAAACATTTCATCATGAGTTATACAACCAACCCTCTAGTAAACCGAGATGAATTCTTGTAGAAGCAAGTTTAGTCTGACCTAAGCTTTGGTTCCATTTATCCAAATCCAACATTTTTAAGAATATCAAAATAGGGAATTGAAAAGAAGATGTCCTCAAAATATCTAAGATTTCCTGCTGCTATATCAGGTCTTATAAGAACCAAGTCCATAGGCTTCACAAGAGCAAGGGAGAGACACTATAGTGGACCCCGATGATAGAGTGCAAACCATTGACTCAGGGGTTTGTGGGAGTGGGTAGTTCTATTTGCCTGGCTTTCACTTACAATATTTTTACTTACTGAGTATTGGTCTTCCCACGTGTGTGATTTACTAAAATCTCTAATTGCATCGACTAGCATGCATTTGAAAAGAAGCTGGTTTTCTACCAGAGCCATCATAACTCAGCTACACCGTCACCTCACTCTGAAGTTACATAGCCCTTCTTGCACTCACTAAAGTTAATCATTTTTCTTTATGTACTAGCATTCCATTCTACTTTTGGCACAAATGATCATCTTGGTCCTATTTCTATATCTACAGGTCTGTCTCTCCCTAATGTTACATGAAGATTTGCATTCACCCAGATCATTGTAGTACCTGGTGTTTTGTAGATGTTTCCTGAATAGTTGTTGAATTCGAGTAAATATTCCTGTCTCTAATAAGACATAATTGATAACCTGTTAATTAAATGGTATGTCGATATTGCACATACACTGTGTTTAAGCAGTAGAGCAAACATGGACAGCATCATCAATTTTGGCTATGGAAACTGGTACGGTCAGTTCAACACTGAAAAGGAAATACAAATTTTTTATTCTTCATAATGTTATTCTTCATCCTATTTTTCTCCCGTGTTTCTGCTTAAGCAGTAAAAAAACAAGTGAAAAAGTAGATGTAGATTCTGAAGTCTCTTGCCCTCCTGTGCCTTTTAGGGTGACTCTAAGAATGACTCTTGGATCTTCGCCCTGGCCGTGCTTCTAAGCAGCACCTTCGTCTACAACAGCATGAACACCATCAACCAGCAGGCCCTGGAGCAGCTGCAGTATCCTTCCAGGGACTGAGCTGCCTTGTTTCATTAATCTAAAAGAGTGACAACTGGGAATATTGCTTATATTACTCAGCCAGTAGGACTTAGGAAAAGGGTTTGTGGGAAAAACGAAGGTGCTTGTAAAATGGGTTTGCAGGAGAAATCTGGGGAGGGGAGAATGCTGCCTTTTATTCTTTAACTAAGGTGCCAGCTATGTAACTGAACTAACAGAGCTGATCAGGGCAAAATCCACTTCCCGATCTGAAGAAATGGATGACTCTGATGAGTTTGTGAGTTTCTTTCCAGACTTCATCTGGGTTGTTCGGGATTTCACTCTGGAGCTGAAGTTAGATGGACACGTCATCACAGCAGACGAGTACCTGGAGAATGCCCTGAAGCTGATTCCAGGTATCAGAGCCTGGCTTGGGAGGGAGGCTCTACCCATCTCATTGAGTACTTGGCGTAAATGTTGCTTTCACCCTAACTTGAACTCTAAGCCAGCAATAAACTGATAACTGAAAAGCAATTGATGAACGTTTTCCATGGTTATTACACTGGAAAATCTTCAGCTGTTGGAGTTTAAATATGAAAACAGTATGTGTGTATACACATGCGCACACACGCCCACACACACACACACACACACACACACACACAGAGAGAGAGAGAGAGAGAGAGAGAGAATGGGAGTATACACAGGTCACATAAAATCATATGAAATGAAGTTATATACTCCAAATTGTAATTCTTTTGTACAGTCTATTTTACTACTACTTGGCTACTTAAGATTTTTTAGATAAAGGATATATTATGAAAAGTTAAGAAAAACAATATTTCCTTTCAATAAGATTCAAATCTTTTATTTTACTTCCTTATCCTCACCTTCTCTTGACAGCATCACAGTTAATATATTTGACATTGTATATATTTTTGAATATACAATATTTAGTTCTTGAGAGAGGTCTCTCTGTTTATTCACTCATTCACTTTTTTCTCTCAACAATTATTCATTGAATACCTGCATAATAGGACAGGATTGCTCTAATTCTCAGTCAAGACTAACAGACTGATTTAGGAGAGAGAAGACAGCTTTATATTACATTAAATTAATATTATTCATCACAATTGTCAAGGCACAGAATATCCTAATGCATTTTTGGTGTGTGTCTATAGGAAGCTGTTGTCTGTAGTTTCTGTCCTACCCTGATATCATATATCATCTTTCTTTTTTTCCTGTTTTCTGCATCACTTTTTTTTAAGGCCCAAATTTCATTTCTGACCAGGATATAGAAAAAGTTAGAAAACTTTTTCTAGCACTTTGGTTTCTTTAGTTAATTGTCCAGTAAATGTTAAATTCTTAACCCATTGGAGTCTGTACCGAGTACTAGGAAGATAGAAAATTAGTTGCCCTCATCCCATGGATAACAGGTCCTCTTTGTCTTCATAATTACTTCATTGTTGTTTACTTTTAAGCAGAAATGGATTTATCATTGTCTTAGTGCTCAAATGAAGAGCCATGTTGTGGATAAAAGGAGTCGAGTCATATTGATAGAAGAACAGCTGTGATTTTTTTAAACTCTCTGGAAATGAAAACACCAGGCCCTTAGCCTGAAGGCTGTCCTATCAAAGAAAAAAAATTCTTTTGTATATTTTTTACAGGCAGAAGTCTCAAAGCCCAAAATTCTAACTTACCTAGGGAATGCATTAGGCATTTCTTTCCAAAGCGGAAGTGTTTTGTCTTTGATCGACCTACAAAAGAAAGAGAACTCTTAGTCCGTGTTGAAGAAATGCCAGAAGACCAGCTTGACCACAATTTCCAAGCACAATCAAAAGCATTCTGTTCTTACATCTTCTCCAGTGCAAAGGCCAAGACCTTGAAAGAGGGAATCATTGTCAATGGAAACCGTGAGTTACCTTTGTCCCAGGAAATATCTCTCTACTTTGAAATCACTTGCTGTAAAACTTGGATTAAATGTTAGTATCTCATATGAGTACAGAGAAACAGCTGTTCACGTGAATCAGAAAATTTTGTCTTTCTTAAATATTATCTCTCTGCATGGGGTCTTATTGAAACCTAATATATCTTAAGAAGTGACTAATGATCAAAGAAGCAAGACGAAGGAAGCTGGTGTTTGTGTTTCTCTGTCCTGACCTGATAGCGTATGCCATCTTTCATTTTACCTGGTTGCATCACTTTGTTTTAAGCCCTCTAAAAGGGAGCCTTTTCTCCATCTATCATGGTTCCCATTGGCTGGTTTCTCAATGCCCACTGGGTCCCCACAGCTGCTATGAAATAACCACTCAGAGACTTAATATATGTTTATAATTGTTTTGTCATTGGCTTAGGCTTCTAACTGGTTACCTCTCTCTTAATTATTAACCCATTTATATTAATCTATGTATCACCATATAGCCTTGGCTTACCTAGATGATGCCCTTGTGTCCTGCTTCCTCATTGGCTACATGGAGTCCCTATCTCTGTCTTCCTTCTCCCTTCTTCTATGTTTGGAATTCCCACCTAGCTAAATTCTGCCTGTCCATTGTCTGAAACAACTTCACCTAGTTACAGCATATAGTGGACATCCCCCATCAAAGGCCCAAATTTCATTTCTGACCAGGGTATACGAAAATCAGAAAACTATTTAAAAAAAAACTTTGGTTTCATTAGTTAATTGCACAGTAAACATTTGTTAAATTTTTAATCTACTGGGGTCTGTACCAAGTACCAGGAAGACAGAAGATTAGTTGGGAATTAGTATTCCCATTAAAGAGGAAATACTTGTGTATGAAATAATGTACAAGGATACAAGAATTTGGTTAAAAAAAAAGTTCTGAAGTAAGTAAGAGACCAAGGTTCCTAAAAGTTCATTAAGAGTTTGGGATAAAAATTCACTAGTTTTGGATTCAGGAGATGATTCAGTCAGTAGAGGGCTTAGCTTGCAAGCATGACTTCAATTAGAATTGACCTAACAGTGTTGAGAGTGGTGGCACACACCTGTAACTGGGAAGCAGAGGCAGACGGATGATTGGTGATACTCAGCTAGTTTTGCCTCCTTTCAGTCAGTGAGAGACTTTGTCTCGGTAAAATACAAAATTAAAATAAGCCGACAAATGTTCTCATTTGGCCTCAACACACACAAAGACATGCAACCACACACACAGTCCCCCCAACACATGTTACACACACATGTCCTTCAATGAAATGGCTCTTCAGTTACATGACAGCTGTACTCAGAAGAGCTGCTCCTCTCACGTAATGCTCTGTTATTGTCTTGAAATTCTTTAATTTTTTTAAAAAACATTAATATTTTCATTTGAGGGTGGGTCCAATGAAATAGGCTTTGCTTTCATGCTTGAAAAATTCATTGCCTAAGTAGTTTAATATGCATTGCTGATTCATGAATTTTATGAAATTAACAAATGTTAGCTTGTTATTTAACCTTAAATTCTTTGCCTTTGTTAGGACTGGCAACTCTGGTGACAACCTATGTGGATTCCATCAATAGTGGAACAGTGCCTTGTCTGGAAAATGCGGTGACAACTCTGGCCCAGCGTGAGAACTCTCTAGCTGTGCAGAAGGCAACTGACCAGTACAGTGAGCAGATGGTCCTGCTAGTGAGGCTCCCCACAGACACACTGCAGGAACTCCTCAGTGTGCATGCAGCCTGTGAGAAGGAAGCCATTGCTGTCTTCATGAAGCACTCTTTCAAGGATGAAAACCAGCTCTTCCAGAGGAACTTGGTGGTACTGTGCCTGGGCCTTTTCTTTTTTAATTTCTGATACCCACTTTGAGGAGTGTTGATTAATGACTGCCATTTTGACCTTACCATTCATCTGGATTCTTGTGAGTGACAGGGTTCTACAGGCTCAAAATTCAGGGACTTGTTTAATTTTTCATTGATGCACAAGAATTTTCAATAAATGTGTCAGCATGAGAAAGCATATGTATTACCTAAGTTCTGTAGATAATAAGCACAGTGCAGGGAGGCTGGCGTGCTCTGCTTAGGGTGCCAGGAAACTGAAGCATGATGCAGACTTAATTTGGTTCTCACTTTAAAGCTCTGCACAGCCTCATAACTCAATCAAGAAACTCCTTTAGACTGTAATTTATAAGTACCACGTTTTATTATTATGTCTGCACATACCCATGCTCTCCATTGAATAATTAAGGAAGGGCTCATGAACCTATACAAAGATCCAGTTGCTGTGTGAGTTGCTTTTTTACAGGTGTATTTTCTTCCATATTAATTCTTGGAGGAAATACTTCTGCCAACCATGTCCCATTGTTCAGCAGGAGAATAGTTAGAGCCAAAGGTCCTGCCCCTAGACCTTATTATTTCACAGCCAATGAGCCTGGCCACTAGAAAGGCATAGAATGTCCATGATTATGCAGACATGGCATTGAAGAGAGTCTCCTGATCCACGGTGTAATTTCCATATCCTCCAAGATCACAGCTGCATCTGTTTTCTAACAGCTGTCTTTCCGGTTATCTCTACAATCCCTTGACAGGCTGCCATAGAGGAAAAGAAGGAAACTTTCATGCAACAGAACGAAGCAGCATCTCTCAGTTACTGCCAGGCTGAGCTGGACAAGCTTTCAGAGCCCCTGAGGGATAGTATCTCACGTGGAGTTTTCTCTGTTCCTGGTGGGCACAGCCTCTACTTAGAAACCAGGAAGAAGGTTGAACAGGGCTATGAGCGAGTGCCCAGGAAGGGAGTGAAGGTGAGGAATGAGGAATAAACAACAGGGACATGGGTCTCAGGGTTACCAGGAAGTATCTTTCCTCCCTAGATCTGAACTTTTCGAGAGGACATGGCTGAGCATGTCTACCTATGCACTTCCAGCTTTTTATATACAGAGTTAACTATTTTTATCTATTTATTTACTTAAATTTTCATTGTTTATATATTTCACTGTAGGAACTGTGTTATATTAAGAAATTTTCATACATACACATATATGGTGTGATGAGGATATCCCTATCTCTATTCTTCTGTTTCTCAATGAAGTCACAAAATTAGTCTTTCCCTCAAAGTAGTTTACAATAAATAATCCTTACTGGAGTAGAATATTTTTCCATTGATTAGCCAAGGCATTTTTTTTCTAAACTAAATAGTGGGATTTGAAGATCAAAGACCCATTTGTTCCTAAGATACTGATGTTATTACCTCACATATAAATTGTCAGTTGGATGAATTCAACGGAGTAAGAACTACCCTGGCACAAACAGAGAGCAGAAACAATGATGCAATTAATATTATAGTGGTTGCAATAATGTTCACAAGGCCAACCCTCTATTTTTAGATTTTATTTCCCTTTGAGTTGTTCTGAGATAGAGTCCTATGCAACAAGGCCAGAGTGGCACTGAACTTGCAATTTGACAACCTTAACCTTCCAGTGCTGGTATTACAGACATGAGCCAGTATGCCCAAATTTTAATACCTTATATTACATGGCAGATACCATCAGTAACTTGAAAATGCATGGCACTTTGGAAGAGACAATTCAATCCTCAGAATAAGTGTCTAATTAGGTACTACTGTTGTGTGCATTTAAGAGTTGTGCAATGAGACAATTGAGACACTAATGCATTGTCAGGCCACAGAAGAGCAAGTAGGACTGACTGCCCAGTGTATTTAGCAGCCATGCAGACCTCAGAAGACAGCTTAGTGATGCTCCCTCTAAAAGAAGATACAGAGCAAAAATGGATTAACAATGGGTGTTTCCCAGGCTCATAAAAACACAACAAGGATTCTAGCAGACAAGAAGTGTGTGAGTGTATTAGACAATGGAAAGTGCACTTTTGAGGATCTGTTAGGTCTCTATGGCTGTAACCTGGGCTGAAAAGTGAAACACTATCTGGAAAGGGAAACTTGGGCAAAGGCTACCACATAAGGCTTCCAAGAATTACAAAAGAGATTTGACTTACTATTGTGAAAGGGAAGGACATGGCGTGGGGCGGGGTGCAGTCTTAAGAAGGATGAGAAAATGTGTAGTGTTTTTGTGGGCTGACAATTCTGACAATTTCACTTTCCTTTTTCCCCAGGCAAATCATGTCCTTCAGAGCTTCCTACATTCTCAGGTTACCATAGAAGACTCCATCCTGCAGTCAGACAAAGCCCTCACTGATGGGCAGAAGGCCATGGAAGGTACATGGGAGGACTTAGATCTCACAGGGATGGGTAGGCTTTTGCTAAGCCTGCTGATTTATGGTCAAACATGTCTTCTTACAAAGATTACACACTTTGCTAATCTGAAATCAAGAGGGGGTATTGTCTCCCTCAGCTAGTGTCACACATGCCTTTAGCATGATTCCAAAATGTGCTCTGGAGATATGGGGACTAGAATTTAGACTTCTCTCGCACACTTTCCAAAATCAGCTGTATCTCAGAGCTCACTCCTGACTGTTGCATTTTACCTCTCTCAAATCCTTGTGGGGCAGCTGAGCGGGCTCAGAAGGAGACAGCGGAACAGGAGCAGGAGCTGCTGAGACAGAAACAGAAGGAACTGCAGCAAGTGATGGAAGCTCAAGAGAGAAGCTACAAGGAAAACATGGTCCAGCTGCATGAGAAGATGGAGACTGAGAGGAATACCCTTCTGAGAGAGCAAGAGGAGAGACTAGCACACAAGTTGAAGGTAAGACTGTGTGAGCTCCAGAACTCATCAGAGCGATAGATAGTGTTCAGGTTTGGCCTTGTCGGACATCTCCACTGTTGTGAATGGTGCTGAAGAATAAAGGATACAGCTGGTTTTGGCAATTTCTCATCACCCAGAAATGAGACAAATTCATCAGTGAGCACGTTTTGGTGGAGTGATAGGCACATTCCTTAACTATTTGAGTTGCAAGAGCAAACCCAAGTGTATTTTTCTTTTTATAGGTCCAAGAAGACATGCTTAAGGAGGGATTTAGAATGAAATATGAAGCAATGGATTCAGAGATAAGCCAACTACAAAAGGAGATTCAAAAGAATAAGAAACAGGACAGGTCATTGGGTGCTCAACTCTTCGATGGGTTTGGAAATGTGTTAGTTTCAATATTGCCTGGTGCTGCTAAGCTAGTTGGTCTAGGGTTGGAAATGCTAAGCACTCACATGAAAAAGAAAAAGAGTTCTTCTTAGAAAAGTGTAGATGTGCTTCTTTACTCTTGAGATTTTTGAACTCTGTGTCATGATAACTTCATTTATTAAATCTCAAAAACCAAGAGCATAGGCCACTCTCCACAACTTGCTCTCAAGGCTCCGTTGCTGAAGACAACACCTATGCAACTCATTGAACATGGAGACATCAAGCTGGTGCCCATAGAGCCTTCACCCTACATGCTAACATCTTTGGCACTAGAAGATACTCTGCATACTACCAAAAGAAAAGCAAACACCAGTCCAGCCACACACCCTTCTATCTACAATAGTGTCTTGCCTGTAATATAGTACAGTGGTGACACAGAGCTTGAGGGAGTAACCGACCACTATCTGATTTGACCTAAGGTCCGCTTCCCAAAATGAAACCCATAACTGCTTGGGTGACCAAGAACCAGAGACCGGACAGCCCAGAGAACCTAGAGTAAAACCAATTACTGTTCTATACTCTCTTCTCCGAAAGCAGCAATAAAATGATACCTGATGACTTTCAGCTATACTCATAGATGAATGCCTTGCTCAGTCATCATCATAAAAGCTTCCTCCTGCAGCGAATAGAAGCAAACACAGAGACCCATTGCCAGAAATTATGTAGAGAGTGAGAGACTTTGGAATAGTCAGCCCTAAATGGCCGTCTCCATCAAATCCCTCCTCTCAGAGCCCAGAAACACTGTCAAAGATAAGGCAGAAAAGAGTATAAGAGTCAGAGGGGATGGAGGACACAAAATAAAAAAAATGTTCCCTTGAGGCTGAAGAGATGGCTCAGAGGTTAAGAGCACTGGCCGTTCTTCCAGAGGACTCTGGTTCAATTTTCTGGACCCACATGGCAGTTCACAACTGTCTGTAACTCTGGTTCCAGGGGATACCACACTCTGGCACAGAAATTCATTCAGGCAAAAGACCAGTGCACAAAAAAAGTACCATTAAGAATATTAAAAATGTTTTAAAAAGAAAGAAAACAAGCCTTGTAGTGAGATGTTTACTTTGTTCACACCTGTGGCACTGACCACACCTATTGGGGGTGGGAGTGGGGGCAGATGTGACCTGGGGGAAGGAGGTCTGGGGAAGGGACCCCAAGAGCTCTCTTGCTGGCAGTGTGGGGACAGAGGAGCATCCGGAGGCATCCTTGGGACCAGGAGCCTGCTGGTGTTCACATCTGTCTCTGTTGTAGGTTATTTCTCCCTGGATAAACATCTATTCAGCCTGTTTTCTCTGATCCTAATTAAACCACGATAAGGCCTTCTTAATCAACACGATCAATGCATATATGAACTCATAGAAACGGAGGCAAGCATGCATAGAACCTGTACAGGGCCTTCATGGGTTTGCCCCCAGTGGGGTCCCAGAACTGAAAGGAGATGTAGAAACACCTGTATCCATAACCCAAAATCAACCTCCAGTTGATAACCACTTACAAATGAAAATTTAGTTTTCTTCAAGAGAGTTTCATTGGGGAAATAAACTACTTCATCTTGTTGGCTGAACCTTAAGTCATTATCTGAGGGGGTGAATATGGATGGATGGAGAGGTGGGGAGGAACTCGGAGAAGGAGTAGGGGGAAGGTAAATGGTGGTCAGGATTGTGTGTATGTGTGTGTGTGTGTGTGTGTGTGTGCGTGTGTGTGTGTGACACACAATTAGAGATAGTGAGAAAAAAATCTATTTTCAATAAGAGTAAAATAATTAAAAGTAATCCATTACTTTTTTATATGGTGGGCACTGTCTGCCAGCCTATGGATGTGCAGCAACAATGTGTCTACCCCACTACCTGCTGTCCAGAAGGCCTGCCAGAAGCTACCACTAATACTAGTATTAGTGGCCTTTTGGCCATATCAGAAATTCCCACATGAAATGCATTTGTCCACACGTGCCTGTTATGCCTATTACATTACATTTGAATATGGCTTTGTCTTCTTGGTTTGGTATTACTGGACATTCACCATATTCCCAGGAGGATGAATCTGGAACTAAACAGGCAGCAGAAAATGTAAATGATTTACCTTTGGTAGATGGAGAGATGGACACTGACATTCCTTAAACAGAATTATGTTGGAAGGATTTCCTCAAGGAGGAGTTTCATCTTCATACACTCTCTTAGCACACAGCAGAAACTGGCCAGTGTTACTGCTATCTCCATTTCTGGCTTCTGCTTCGGGCTTTGTTTCTCCTGGATCCCTAGCTAGAGATATTTCTATTCTCCAGGGCTATGGAGATGTGACCCTTTGGTTCCCTTAATGCTTTGTTCTCCTACTGTGGAAAAACTAAGAGCATTAATTAATCTAGCCAAATAATTTGTAAAAGCTATGAAGGTGTGATGCACAGTCCACATCACCAGCAAGTCATTGCTAAACTTCTGTCTCTAACTGATTGACGTCACTAAGAGGCTGTGTGTAGACGCCCACCAGCATCACTGTAGTAGGGTATAAACCCTCTCCCATTCCTGATCAAAAACTTCTGATGTTTATAGTGTAAAATGTTTCTATCCATGTGAAATAAAATTCAATTCTGAAGAATTTTTCATATGGTGTGTGTGTGTGTGTGTGTGTGTGTGTGTGTGTATGATGTGGACATGCAGGACACTTTTGCCATCTGGCTTCACCTTCCACCTTGCTTGAGACAGGGTTTCTTATTTTTCTATTGCTTACTGTTGCCTAACCCAGGATATTTGAGCAGGGTATCTGAGGCTCTTTGAGCCACTATGGATTCTCTTTTTACATTGTCCCTGACAACCATCATTATGGCTCTCCAGCACTTCATGCTTGTTTCTTCTTATTCACTTGTGCTGAGGAATCAGATGTCAAGGTTCCTTGAGTAACCTTTCTGCTCCCCATTGTTTGATATCAAGGAATCTGGTTAGAGAAACACCCCACGTCACATTGAGTCACCCACATATGGCTTCAACTACATATGATTTCACCACGTAAGGAAGCTCTCTGAAGTCTCAGGAGGGCTTCCATGTGAAACATAGGGAGTAGGACGTGAACGCTGGTCATAAAGTGATACTTGGGTCAGTTCCCCTTGGAGTAGGGAGAACAAAAGCAGAAGGTTCTGGCCCTGAAACAGGGCACAGCTGGCCTGAGCGCTGGAGCCTTCATTCATAGTGCCCTGCTCATTTAAGAGTATGGAGCCTTGTTTCCTCTCCTAACTCTCTCTTACCCCAGCCCCCACTGACCATCGGTCCTCCTCACTTTCCTGCTATGACATCCAATTTTCCTTGATTCAGGAATCAGGGCTTGCTCTGCTGAGTCACCAATTCTCACAGAAGTTCTCTCAAATTAAGGCGATTGACAAACTCTCTAAAGGCACCCGAATCTACCATATTGAATCCACTGCACAGTGCTTACTGTCGCATATTTGAAGCAAATTGCTATTGTATAAAATTTAAAGTTGCCCAGCTTCAACCTGCTATAGATATTACATTATATCTAATTTATTTGTAAGAGCAAGCATGCCCTTCTTATTTTGTTCAATAACTCTGTCATAACCTTGGTTCCTATCTAAGTCTGCGTGCTAGCACAATCCTCGATTCTAAGCAACCTCTGCTAGCTAAACTGTTGGTGTAATTCACCTGTGCCCAGCTAAACCCTAATACAAGAGCTTTGTACATAATTTCTACTTAATACATATCAGTGTACCAAGTGAAAAATACATGGATTTGTCTCCAGAAATGGATTATTTATTTTAATCACGCAATTGTTATGAACATGTGCTGCTATAATTATAAAAACAATTAATATCCACTGAGGGTAAATTTATAGTAAAGAAAAAAGAGAGTAATTAGAGTCAGAGAGACAGCTCAGCAGACAAAGGTGCCTGCCATCAAGCCACATGACATAACATCCATGTCTATGGTCCATGTGGTAGGTGGAAAGAACTTGCATTTACAGGTTGTCCTCTGATTTCTACATGCGTACTGTGGTACATGGGCATTCCCACATCAACCTGTGTCCACATGAGCTCAAATGTGCACATAAGCACACACAACAAAAATAATTCTTAAGATTGCAAAAAAAAAAAAAAAAAAAAGGAGGTTGGATGTCATTTCTCAAGACCCATCCATTGTGTTTGAAACAAGTTCTCTCTTTGGGGCCTTACTGATTAGACTAGACTGTCCAGTCAGGAAACTCCAGGGAGCCCTCTATATCCATATCTCCAGCATGGGATACCCAGCCTGCACCATTCTGTCCAGATGTTTTGGTAATTGTTCAAGACTGAATTCAAGTTCTCATGCTAGCATAGCAAGCACTTTACCAGATAGGTTATCTCTGAAGCTTCATCTCTCTTTCTTCCATTCTTTTTTAATTGAAACAGTGGTTCTTAAGGCCTTGGAAGGATAATAATATATATGAAAAAAGTAAATGAAGCCAGGTGGTGGTGGCACATGCTTTTAATCACAGCTCATGGGAGGTAGAAGCAGGTAGATTTCTGAGTTCAAGGCAAGCCTGGAATACAGTGTGAGTTCCAGGACAGCCTGTCTCAAAAAACAACCAAACAAAACAAAATGGTAAATATGTAATTTAATGTTTTTTTTCCAGAATATTTTAATTGGTCTGTTACTAAAGTAAAAAACTCAAAAACTTCTTAGCCTATAGTAAATTACCTTCAGCAAGCATTAGAGACACATGTATAGGTTTTCGTAGTTGAAGATTGATAGCTCACTCACAAATCAGATATTATAGACCATCAAACGAGGTCAAATCATCTCTATTTGGATTTTTCAAGTAGATCTTGGAACTTAGGATGAAGACACTCTCTTCAACTGTGTGCCACGAGTCTCTTACCTGGGAAGTGGACAAAGACAGAAACACAGGTCTGAGTCTAAGCAGGCTGTCCCTGTGGTTATCAGCAACAATGTGACATGCATGAAGCCAATGATACTCAGCTGAGGGTGGCTGAGCAGCAAAGACACCATTCCCTGAGTGATTAATGACTAAACTACATTCACAACTGTACTTTAATATCGTGTGGGCTTTCCTTAGAATTGCTCTGGTTCCCACCCACTCAGATCAATCTTTCCCTCTGTTCCCAGAATGCACACAAACTTTAACTGTTGTTTGTTCTGTGTA